TTTTGACATTTTTCTGCAGTTACCCGATTTTCATGGTTATTACAGTCATCATTATTTAGTGTTCATTGTGGGTCTATTTTAAAAGCTGTATAGTAAAAAGAGCATGTTAGGGTTTGAGTTCCGTGATTTTTGCATTGATTTCTTAGCTGGTTGATTGAAGATAAAAATATTGTAGATTTAACTCGAGTCTTATATAACATTGTCAAGCATATAATATTTTACCTTAATTTTTCTATATTCTGATATAAAATCTTTCATCTCTCCAAGAAAGTGTTTTGATAGGGAAATCTGGCCAATTGTTGAAGCCAGTTCAAAGTTCTTTCAGATTCAACTCTCACATTTATTTATTTATTTATTTATTTATTTATTTTCATTTCTTATGACTCATACCTTACTGTGTTTCAGGTTCTATTTTCTGCTGCACATGGAGTCAAAGATTCTCTGAGGATCTCTGAGTATAATTACTGAAAGCTGACTGTAGGTTAAAATGTGTTTGGGTGTTATAGTTTATAGCCCCCCCCAAGCAACTGAATAGCTTGAAATCAAATGTTAAAAATGCTGGCTCATCAACTAAAATATAATCAAAGGATGCTTCTTTACTACTATTTAGTCGTTGCCAACAGCTCTTCTCTTGTCTACCAGTGTTCTTCCAAGTCTGCCTCTGGGTCTGCGGCTCTGCTCATGCCATGGTCTCCATTAGCTCTTCCCATGCTCTGGAGTTGCCATAGATGACCTGGATCCATCTTTTTGTTTAGTTCCTGGGCAGAAGCTTCTTTATTTATGTCCTACTAGCTCATGTATTTCTGTAAGATTAATTATGTAAACTAATTTGAGATATGATGTGAGGGTTTACAGCAGCGTAGTTACCCTTGGAGAAAATCTAATCCTTTTCATATCTTCTGAAATGATCCTATGAAATGTGGAATAGAAACTCAAGGAATGATCAATCAACAGTAGTGAGCTCTGCCTCTGTTTTGAATTTGTTTCTTTTTTCCTGAGTTTTCTCCAGGTAAGCAGGGATCCAGGGTTGACATTTTGCCCTTGACAGAGAAAGAACCATTGCCTACACAGAGAAGATTTCAATTGTGTGTGGGGGGGGGACGATTTGAGAAAGCCTTTTTAAAAATGCTGTCTACATGTAGTGCTTTTCAGAGAAATGTCTTCAGGAGACTGAGGCAAAATAGTGCATGGATGTGGCAGAACTTTGCAGTACAGGCTTGTGAGTAGCAGGGAGACATAGGGTGTTTCCACCCATTGCCACTATGTAATTCCTGAAGGAATTTTCATCTACCCTTTATCCCCCTTTTCATGGGAAAATCTTAGCTAGAAATATAACTATTGCAAACATGTTGTTTAAAATATTAATTGCTTAGAAATAAACATAAGAAATTGATGAGAAAAATTAGTTTCCTAAATGCAACTAGCTGAGATAGAAATAGTTTAAGTTCTTATTTTTAATAAAAAAGTTGTGTTTACACAGTTGTATTGAGAACTCTGGTGAGGTTCACACAGTGCAATAACTATCCTTACACCTGTGAGTTAACATAGCAAACACTGCAATAAGTCCTATGGAAGAAGCATGTCTGCCATATGAGACTCAGAGGACTTGTGCTTGATACCAAGAACGGTTTTTATTCCTTTGAGCAGTGTTGCTGGCAGACATGAGTATAACTCCCTAGAGGCTTTTCCCAAGCTATTGTTGTGACTAAAGTGAAGGAAAGAGAGGTATAATGAACCATTTTCATAGAAGACTGACACCTCAGGAAGTCACAGCCCATCATGGAAAATAATTAACAAGAATATGGATACTGTATACCAAAATGACAATATGCAGAAAGAGAGAAAATCAGTTTCATCCCTGAAACCATATACACACAAACAACAGAAATAAACTCTGTAGATTGTATATATGAGTGCAACAGCAATCAAAAGGAGGCTATCAATGGGGGGATAGGAAAGGTTAGATGTAAGGGCATGGGAGGCACTCAAGGGAGGAAAGGGAAGGGGGTAGTGATGTAATTGTATTTTAATTAAAATTTGAAAATTACAATACATTTTAAAACAATACTCTATGCCAGACTCTCTATGCCAGACTATCTATCTATCTATCTATCTATCTATCTATCTATCTATCTATCTATCTATCTATCTATCCATCTGTCATTTATTATCTATATACATAAATAGCTATAGACAGGCATATAAATCATCCATTTTCCTATGCCAAACTCCTCCATTTTGACTAAGAATTGAGTTGAGCTCTGACAAATGCTGTCACTTCAAAGCATCACTTTGCTTGCTACAAGCAAGAGTGCTAAGGGTATGTATAGCTTAATGGTGTGGCTTTCTAAGTAACTTTTCCCCATGTAAAGTTTCCTGGGGTACCACTATTGAAGAAAGCTATTGTCTTAACCAATTTAGATTACAGTGAACTACTGAGTTCTTTTAGTCTGCATGAGCCCTAGGTCCTCTTAGATTTATTATGAGTGTAACACGTCTTTTGGAAAGGAATTAAATCTAAGAAAAAAGGGCCACAGTCAACCATGTTGTCCTGTTCAAGCATGCACATGTTTTATTTAAGTATTCTCCAAAAGTCTATTTTTTCCAGCATAATGCAGATATTATGCTATCCTTTGAAATAAGATATATGAATTTCAAACAAAATTGTCAAAAAACAATGACCTTAGTTACTCCATATGATACACAGAAATAATTACATTTCACTTACAATACAGATGCACTTAACACAGTCATCAATAGTCATTCACCACCAACACAGTATATTTTTAAATCACCTAAAACATCAAAAAGTTTTTTTTAATTTATTTTCTGTGGAAATCTGAAGAAATTAATAATTTGTGATAAATGACAAATTAAAAGAGGAAGAATAATTATCAGCCAAAATAAGCTAAGTGTATTTCATTTTTTTTGTACTATTAAGAACATGAAAATAGAACTTCTTATTGGGAAGCAGAAGATGTTAAGTGTTCCTGATTGTATTTGCCTTAGTCTATATTTTAAAAGGTTTTTCAATAAATGCCATCAAAGAAGTTTCACTATATATTTGCTCTAGAAGCATAAAGTGACAAGAGGCAGGTGTTAATAGAACTGTTAATATTCACGCCGCAGGAAGATTAGTAACTTTTAAAAAGACACACTAGGAATAAAGCCAGGTCTTCCCGAGAGACAGCTGAGTTCTCTTTCCTGCCACTCAGCTGCTGATGAAGATCCACTGTGCCTAACACAGTTCTAGAAGCTATTCTATAAATGGGAATCGATTTCTGGCTTTATCTGAAAATAGTTGGATTAATTCCTTTTTATGGTAAATTGTGATACGCATTTCAAAATCTCTATGACAGAGGAGTAATTATTAACTTTTTCCATGTATAGAAACTTAGCTTTCGTTCTTACAGTGGTGGCTTGGAATGAACAAAACTTTTCATGACATGAAACTTTTTTACACTGTCACGTGCAGACATATCTGCAGATATTTAAGGGTGAAAAGATAGTAAGACTTTTCACTTAAATGTACATAGTGGTCAACTTCACATCATCACACTCCTGTCTTGCTGATTTTGCAGAGAGCTTTGTGCCTTGTGATACACAGGATCTTTTGAGACAAATCGTCACTTTCTTGGATGGCATCAAAAGCCTGCTCTCATTGAATATTGCTACATAAAGCACTTCTATTTTCCTCTGCATTTAGGTGTTCTCAAATGTATTGAAGATCTGAAGCAAAAGAAATAACACTGAGACAGATTCTGAGATCATAGATCCTGTGATTTTTAGTCCCATTTAACTCCTGTCATGAAACACATACAGGTGTTTCCAGGGTCTGCGTTTTCCATAAATACTGAAAACACTAGAGATATTTCATTTCAACTCCTTTACTCTAGTTTTTGTCAAGGGGATTGATGACAGTCTACTTGTAATAACCAGTTGGGTAATACAAAAGTAGCAGACTTAATTTATTTATTTTTTACTACAGTAAATACTAATCCTGTCATTAATGGGTAAACCCAGTAGAAAGACACTAGAGAGATCCAGGGACAGAGAATGCCCTGGGTCACCGGAATACAGTGGACCAAAGAATACTACCAAAAAACATTTATGACACAATAGTTGTGAATTAAAAACTCACCTAAAACCTGACCACACTAGAAGGTTTTCTAAGAATGTGGCTTTTACTGTATCTATGAATATATGGAGAGTCCAAAAAAAAAATCCTGATTCCTGATACAACAGATATAGAATGAATTATTGCAGTTATAACAATGACTAGGTGCAAGGTTAAACAATAATTAATACTGAACTATCCAAACACTTTAGATTTACTAGTGTGCATCCCCATGAGAAACACTGTAGTGCTAAAAGGAGTTTATTTGCACAGCCCACCGTGGAACATGGACAATCATCTCACTGTAAGTGCACAGGAATTTCCCCTTTCTACAGGTATAGTTTATCATGCCTATTCTGAAGACAACATAAGGAAACTGAGATCACTGCTCCAAAGAATTCTAGCATGCATTAGGATGGTTTCCTTCAGTCCATACAAATGGATCGTATGAGTCTTTTTCATCTACGATAATCTCCACCAGAGCCAACGTTCATGATTTTAACAGGAAAAATTTTTATCAAAATGTTTTCCATATTTTTTTTTGTGTTGCATTCAACTGGAACGTTATGTTCAAAGACTGATTTTATATGTTTTATTAAAAAAGAGTTCTGATCATAAGAAGCATCAATATATGGCATTTCATTGTGCTCATTCACAAAGTCAAAGGCCACAGAGTCTTCCTCTGTGAACAGGTCGGACTCTGTCTAGAAATGCCGTTGGCTGTTTTGATTCACATCCTCAACTTTGAAAGCTTTTTTTTTTTTTTAACTTCTTGCTTTGCTGTCTTAATCTGCAAAGGAATTGGTTATTATTTCTTCTTCCTTCTACTTGAGATTCTTTCCATTGTCAGGGCTCCAATGCTCTTAGACCTGTGCCAATTGTCTTACAAAGCAGACACCCTGACAATGTTTCCTCCGGAGTACTCTGGAGACTCTGGCCTGTCGTCACCTTCTGGTGTGGTTACCGGAGGTGTTGGGATGCTTATTATTGCTGTGGTCACGTAAGGTTGTTCACAGTTTAGTTTAACGCATTCTTCCATTTTGGCATTTAAGCTGGATCGGCTGATGAGGGAGAAAAAGAAGTTGGAACAGATAAGCTATTTATTTTCAGTTTTTTTTCTTGTAATTGAATAATGTATATACTACTACTAATACATAACATTGAAAATATATCAGCAAAACCACATTTAAAACAATTTCAACATATTATCTTAAATGTCAGTTCATTAACATGAATTATTTTCCTAAAGTCATGCTCAACTTAGTTAAATCAATTGTTTCTCATAGTATATTCTTTACAAATATAAAGAAAACAGCTATATGTCTGAGATAAACAAAGTGAAATAGTTTCCTTTGGCGGTAACTTTGAAAGGCTTAAGGTGCCAGCATGGAAGGCCATTCCATGGAGATTTTGTAGGGTTGTGTTTTTCTGAAATGTACAGTTCCTTGAAAGTACCCCAGTTAATGATGGTCATATATTAAGAACCTCAAAATACTAGCGTTAAGTATCTCAATGCTTAGGTTTTCTACAAGGGATAGTCTAGTCACAAACTTCCCATGAGGACAAGGGGAAGGGAAGAGCAGGGAGTTTTATGTTGGGTGTCTTCCTGGTCACTCTCCACTTTGTGTACTGAGACAGGATCTCCTGCTGACTCACCAATTGCAGCTAGTCTAGCTACCCAACTTGTCCCCAAGATTGCCTGTCTCAGCTTCCCAAGTGATGAGATTATATGCCACCTGTAATATATAGCCAACTTGGTTTGGATTCTAGGGGAACTCAAATCCTTAGGCTTCCATGGCAATCAATTTATCCAAGGAGTCATGTCCTCTGCCTGCTAATGCAACTTTTGACCTTTAATGGATATGCATTATTTGTTTTATTTCCCTGAAACTAGGACTTAGAGGCCACATGATTATAGCAGACATGGTCTATGAATCAGGCCAGGCATTTACATCTTACAGATCAATCCCAGGTACCTGTTGGATAGCGGAGTTCTCTCCACACATCTGATCTGAATTGTACTGAGTTCTTGCACACTGCCTCTATGACTTCCTGACACGTTGGCATTAGGAATGCGGAAAGTTTTTTTGTGTCGCCGTGAGCAGCAAGTGCTGGTGACCCCTTGTTGTGAAGACATGGAGGGACTGTGACTTGAAGGACGATTAACTGTGGCAACTTCCATGCAGCTTTCTTCAAAGACTTGCTCATCCACAAACTCATGGTTCTGTGTGGGAGTTGTAGGAAAATGTGAAGAAAGCAGATAAATGATCTTTTTTTTTATTTAAAAGAGATTAAATAACATTATCTTAAAAATTCAAATATAGTAAGATTTGCTTAGACTTGATACAATAAGTAAGCAAAATGACTCTCCAAAAGACTAAAATATTAAAGTGAAAATTCCTTTAAGGAAATTTTTTTGGAAAAGAATCTTTCTAGCTAGATCTAGAGGTTGACATTTGCAAAATGCAAGCTGATTCATGTTTATTTACAGACCATTGTTTTCAAATATCATTTGTTAACTTAAGCATAAAATCAGAATGTTATAAACTAAAAAAACGAAACTCTTAAATGAATATAAATAATATCCATAAGGAATTTATAAACTCCTAGTGATTTTAGTAAGCAGACTAAATGTATAAAAAGAGATTACTGCAATAGAAATCTCTTAAATTAGACTGTATACTATATATTCGCAAATATCTTCATGTGTTATAGAAACATTTTTAATTAGAAACTTAGAAGTCTCAGGCATTTTCATTTCTTTTGATGCTACCCTAAAATTCTCGATATAAAGAAAACTATCATTTTTAAAATAAAGAATGTAATGTATGTACATATCTCACAAGAGATTAGTTCCCAGATTTTGTGGTCTCTTTTCTTATCTCTAATCATCACCTCTGTTTTCCTAACTCCCCACTCAGAGACAAGCAGAAAGGTGCATCAATTCACATACCACACTTTACAGACCACATACGAATGTTAATTTAAAAACAGGAAACAATTACCTGCTGAATTGCCTACATAAGAATTTTGCCTCAGAAATATAAGAGCAAACATTCTTTACCATGAACTACTGGAGAATGACTTCAATTACTATTTTATCTCTCTCTGTGTAGAAATAGCCTCATAATGAAAGGCTTTGCACATTTTGGATTTCACTTAACCATCTCTCATCCTAAAATATTAGTAAAACAATTGAAGCAATTCATGGCCTAATGGGAAATAGATTGTTTTAGTTACTCATTTTGTCATTTCTTTGCTGAGAGTCGCATTTTGAAACACATGAAATTGCGACATTCTACTCTTATGAGTACAGAGAACAATGATTAGGAGACAGAATTTCATGTTCATTTTTGTTGCACAAAGAATTCATCATCTGTGTTTTTCCCTTACAGTGTATAGCAACACACATGTTAACAGTCCGAACACACAGCAGTCAGATTTAAATCATTAGGGCCTGGGATTAAAGAAGCTGGTCTGCCTCTGGTTGCTATATAGTTTTCTAGGTAGCTCAAAATTAAACCGTATTTTAGAAACATCAGTGGTAAAATAGTGGAAAAGAAAAGACATGAGAGGGATAAATGAAGCTATCTTTAATCTATCACTTAACTTTCAAAGTCTTCTTCTATGACATTAGAAGTACATGTGCAACTTTATCTGAAATTTAAATATAATCATGTAACTACCCAATTAAATCTAAATTTTCCACTTGTTATGAGCTAATCATCACGCATCTATCTGGACAACACAGGACCTGACTACTGTCTTTCCCATGTCATCTTCCTGTACTTCCTGGTGACCTTCACATTTTTTCTCTGCTTCCTCATCCACCTGCCTACTCTCTTTCTGTACTGATATCATCTAGTGTTAGCCTGAGCCTTTCATGACTCTGTTATCGCTCTAGCACTTATACTGTCTTTTGCTGCCTCCATGTCTTTGCATAACTCCAAATTCGTCTATACCTCTCATGCTACCCCCCCCACCCCCAAAAAAGAAGAGGCATGCAGGAAGGATTTCTTGAGCTTGTCTACACATGGCTCCTCATTGCTTCACACTGTGGCCCCTCCCATCCTCACTACCCTTGTCCGGTACATCCATCTTTCCTGTTTTGCTACCAATGGAGGCTTGATAGTGGTGAGTGCATACTGGTTTCACAGTATTTTGGATCTGGCTCATGCAAGTGATATGTATTTGCTGAATGATTATCTGAATTAACAAGTTGGTGGGAGACATGTTAGAATTTAGTCTACTTATAAAGTATAATTTATAATGTATCATATAACTGTGTCATATATAATGTATCTTATAATGTTGAGTAAGCAGACCCGATTGATACATGACAAATCCTTCTTTCTACTCTGTGGTCACAGACTGTGATGCTCATGGAAAACCAGCTTAATAATGGGTGACTTTGCTGTGGGAGAATTCCCACTGATAGCACGCAAGTGAGGAGACACAGACTTCTCTGTGGGACACTCTGTGATTAACATTTTATTGCACTAAAGAGACAATTTTTAAATATCTAACTTTATTCATTATTCCTGTAAATAAAAGAAACGTGCTTTCTTATCTTTTCTCTCCTTTTTGGTGACAGCTTTGATAGTTTATTTAGATGCAAGGACACTTGAAATTTAATTTTTTTCCCTTTTAAATCATTGTACAAACAGAGAAGAAACAACCTTTCATTCAGTAGCTATTGGAAGACATCTTTCTCTCTTTATTCATCTGGTGTCTTGGATGGGAGTTATTGCAGCTACTTAGAGCCCAGCATTTATAATAACTATAACAATTTCCAAGTTGAATCAATTGCTGTGGAATTTTCTGTAACCGGGATTTTTCAGCATATTTTCTAGGGATGCAGTCGAATCCCACTTGGGCATGTCATGTTTGCATGGAAGTGAACAAGACTGCTGTCAGGGTGGAAGGCTGAAGCTCTGCTGTCTTCTTACCGTGGTTTTCTCCAGGCAGTGAAGCAGGTGGTGGTGTTGTGTCTCAAAGCTGGATCCGGATTTGCTAACAAAGGCGGGTTCATCCTCTGAAGACTGTAACACAGGGAAATCACAAACTTTCTTTTAATTTGCAACCTGGGAGAATCTGGGCTACCCATGTGCACAGAGATTCCTGGCCTGGTTTCTGAGACTAACTGGCGGCACTTTACTCACTAAAAAAAGACAAATGTGTAATTAAGTCTGGGTGTTCAGCGGGTATGTTTCCATTTGGTCTTATAAGACTACACCTCCTTGAATTGAAGATTCAATTGCTTTTTAGAGTAAGTTTATCAAGAGTTTATCAAGTTCTCCTTTGACCATGTGGCCTTTGTTAACACTTACTGGATGTTGTTCTCTGTCCATCAAAAGTAGAGAAAGGTATCGTGTCTCACCCTAGACCCCAATCAAAGAGAACTTAAAGGAACATATGTAAATTTGAAGTAAAATTAAGTAAGTGAATGGTTGATAATTTCTTACATCATCAATGTCACAGTGGATAGGATGTCAGTGGAGAATGTGGAGCTGGACTTCCTTCCTGGAAACAGAAACCATGACCACTGGTAATATCTCCTAGCACAGTGTCTAAGCTGTTACAGGTAACTACAATGGACAGCGGAAAGCTATAAAACTGACATTCTGTTGTTCCTCTAGTCATTTTCATAATTACCCGCAATAAAATCATACGGTTAATTGGAGCTGAATCACTATCATGCTAGTGAGCCCATGGTTACAAAGAAGTGAAGGGCTTGGCTGTACCTGCAACTGGTTGCTGAGTAACCCATTCCGCTTGCTCTGCATGTAGGCATTTGCACTTCCACTTTTGGCTGCCCGGATCCTGGCCAGTCTTGCTTTCTACAGGAGAAAAATAGAAAACATCCTGTCAACACTTATGAATTCTGTTTATAAGTCAGAAATGAACTCTTCTAAAGTAAATTATTATTCATTATTCCGGTGTGTATGATGTGTGTGGTGTACATGTCACAGCTCACACATGAGGTAGTCAGAAGACAGCTCTGAGGGACAGATCTCTCATTCTGTTTTCTGAATTTTAAAAGGTCTTGGGATACAAAGCCTTTACCCATTGAGGCACGGTGCTGGCCTGGAGAAAATGTGTTCTGTGTAATACTATGCTCAACAGACATACTTTAAAGCAAGCCAGCTTTGTGGATGGAAGGACTGAAAACTGTCCTCCCTGTGCTGAGTGTTTTCTTATTAACTGTCTCAGAGTTGGCTAATGCACTTCAGAATTGGGATTCATCTTTACAGTAAGATCAAATTATTTTGTTATTCTTTCAGTTTTGTCAGGAGCAAAATAACAGTATCACTTGACTTATATTTATACTTACTCTGACCTGAGGAACATAATGAAGTGGAAACCACAGGCCCAGCAAAGCAGCTGTCAATTCTTGCTCATGTCACTAGCTTCTTTTTTAAAATTAGTGTCTTGTTTCCAGGAATCAGTTAAGACTTCCCCTCCCTTCTTCTCTTCTCTACCATGTTCTCATTTCCCTCTCTACCCTGTCTCTACTTTCCCTTCTTATTTCTCTTTCTTTCCCTACTATCTTTCCTTACCCTCTTCTCCCCATTCTTCTCCCTCTGTCTCTCCCTTCCTTTCCCCTCTCCTTCACTCACTATCTTTTTTCTAAATTCACTACTCAGCCGCACCTGTAGACCCTAATGCACGTGTTTTATTTACAGTTGTGCTGTTAAATTGATCAAAGGAGAGCCCATGCAGAGTAACACATGATCTTAGAATCCTTAAATTTAGGTCATTTGATGTCTGCGCAGGTCTGTACATTGATATATTCATTTGATTTCTATGCCACTCTTGAATCTGTTGAGATGAAGAACGCAGTGAGTCTGTCCAAATGGGTTTATATGATTACTTAAACTTTCGGAGCGTTTTCTGTAGATTGATTTTGTGTTTGGAGAATTTCAGGTGGCCATTCAGTTGGTCACAGTTCCAATGAGGTCATCAGTGCAGTGTTACCCAGCACAACAATTTGTTGCTAGCTTTCTGGTGTATATTCTCTGTATGATCTCTGTGGCACGGCTGCCCTCTGACCATCATGGAAGGAGTCTACTTCCCACCCTGGACAGCACATTCTGGGGACCACTCTTTATGACTCATGGGTAACAACAATGACTTGGTCAAGAAGTTTCTTGCAAACTTACTCTAAGAAGTCCACCATTCCTTTTATGAACAACCCATAAGCACACTACCTTCAGTTTCAAGCTCTAGGACATTCTTTTGTGTAAGAATTCAAAAATTATTTCCATTCTAAAAACAGAAGAGAGATGTGTGCCTATGAAAAAACTTCCTGTACCACAAAGACATACACAAGGCAAGTACTCTGGCCTATTGCCATTCACCCCTTATGCTCTGTAGCCAGGGCCTGCTGTATGTCTTGGCAGAAACTAATTATGTGCACGTGCACATTTTAACACAGCTGCAAGAAAACATCTCATTCTCGTCTGTAGTTTATTTCATTTCTACACCTGGGAGCTTCATTTGCAGGGAGGGCACATGAGAGTAGGAGGGAAATCATAGAATTGTGTTGAATCCCTTGGAGCTGAAATTACAGGTGGTTTTGAGCCACTTGATTGGAACTCTGGTCCTCTGGAAGAGCAGCAAGCACTCCTAGCTGCTGATCCATCTTTTCAGTCACTGTGTCTTATTTAATACCTCTGAGCAAGGTTTCTTGCTAAGTGATGGAGGCTAGCCCTGAACTGGTGATTTTTGCTTCAGGCTCCTGAGAAGCTGGAATCACAGGCATGTTTCAACACAATTAACTTTTATGTATTGTTTTGAGACAGGCTCTTATGAAACTCAAATTGGCCCTGAATAGATTTGATAGCTGATGCTGAATGTTGGAACACCTTGCTGGCTGGGCAGAGGCTGCAGTCTATCATGGCTTGGCAGCTTTTTTTTTTTTTTTTATACAAAAGCTCAACAACATGGACATGGAGACTCCCTCCCACACCCCCAGGAATACTTCTCTACCTGCCCTTATCTGGAGAGTGTCCCTGGGCCTGGAGGACTGACCTTATCTGAAAGTTGTCTCCAAGCCAGATACCTGATTTATCTTTAGCTTGACCCTTGGCACAGATTCCTGCTAGAAGACTTGTGCTAGGAGTTCTGCTATACTGCCACATAGGAAGCACTGTTATAGGAGTGTGACACTAAATGCAAATTAGGCTTTGTCCCCAGTCTTCCCAAACCTATATATATTCTTTATACTCTGGAATAAAGTTGAGCTAATTCATTGAAGTCTGTCTCCAGGAGGGCTGTCTCCCTCATTCCCACAGCCCTCCAGACCCCGTTCTGTTTCTGCTCTCTCCACCCTCATGGACCAATGCAGCCAAGGACCTGAAGGAAAAAACAGAGCTACAGCCCGCCTCAAGATTGTCATGAATTCCTTAGCATCCTGCCTCCACTTCTCAAGTTCTGGGACCAAAGGCACGTATCATTCATCAAAAATTTAAAGCAGCATTTGCCATAGCAAGCAAGGCTTTGAGCATCTTGGTGACAAATTTCAAATGGCAGACTTGTTTTTGGATCATAGGTGTGTGTGTGTGTGTGTGTGTGTGTGTGTGTGTGTGTGTGTCTTTAATACTGGAGCTTTAGATATAAAGCTTTTGGAATTTCCCCTTTCATGTACTTCAAGAGCAGTGTTGAGCTGTCTCAAACACCATTTATCCGCATGGCTTCAGTTCCGCCCCTCCTTCCTTCACCCTTAAGTTTGTGCTTTATGTGTGCCGATTCCATTTTAAAGTAATATACTGTATCAAGATCATTTTTGTTCGTGATGGGAAAGTTGAGAAACTGCACTTTTGTTGTCAGTATGATACTTGGATCACTGAAAAACCATTTGGCCAGTCCTGGAGACTTCAGTGGGAAGGTAGGAAGCAAACCTTCACCTTCAAAAGCTGTGAATCAGGACTAGGTTTTCAGGCCAGACTCAGCAAAACAATGGCACTGACAAGCATTCTGGGAAATGACCTAGAATTGCCCCAATCATGTACAAGCAAGCAACGCACCTATTGATTTCCAGACAGTGCACATTGTGATTTCAGTCCTTTCAGCTCTTCAAACGTTCATTGCCTTATTTCATCCACCTTCGCCCCTCTGTTCTGTTGCTGCTTCATACCCATCGGTTCTCAATCTCCTGCATTTCTTGGCTGCTTTCCTCTCCCTCCTCTTCTGCCCCCCCTCCCTCCACTCCTCCTATCTTGCATATTGCATTTCCCACATTGCAGTTACTTCTCTTGCCTATGTTATTCTCTAAGCCCAAGGCAGCAATATTGAGTAATGTTGATTTTTTTTTCTTTGAGAAATGTACCATAACCAAAGCAACCGTCCATCACAGAAGAATGACATACCTTTTATCACAAAATAAAAAGTCTATAAATGGCATCAACTGCTAATACACATAGAGTCTTAGCCATCTGCAAAATGTTGTTTTAAAGACAGAATGGCCATGTTTTGTTAAGCCATGTACTGTATTAGTAAAAGAGCCACCCGTCCACCTGTTGTAATTTCATCCAAACCTTTTCTTTCAGTTTGCTGTAATACTGTGAGTTAATTGGCTTAATTCATCCTGTGGCGTACCATACCAAATACCTGTTGAAGTCTAGCCCTTACCATCTGTGATTATAGCTTTGGTTTCAGCAGGTAATTGAAGGAGATTATTTTACAAAATTGTTTCAGAAACTCACTTTTCCTGTGACCTACTCAGTATGACAGTCATGGCAATACTGGCTGTGTAATGAGAGGTTAAGAGAGAACAGTCCTTTCAGTCCCCTACTTGTGCTCTCTAGAAAATAGCAGCTTCTTGCAGTAGCAAAGTACCAGCCATGAGAATGCAAATTAGGATGAGGTTTTAGTGGATGTTTTGAACCATAGTGTTACTGAATCAAAAAATATTTTCAATACTTTAGGAAAATGATGGATTCCCAGGCAACCTAGTGATTGAGAGAATGTCTCTCTTCTCACTAATCTGAGACAATTCATCACTCCTTGAATATGGGCCCCCACATTCCCTGCCTAACCCATGTATTCCAGACATCACACTACAGTTGGTCTCTTTCATTTAATTCTCAAGTGTTCCGTGTGTACGTAGCATATGAAGCTTTGTCAGCTTTGAAGGTCTGAAGGAGCTTATTGGATTATTTCCATTTGCTAAGGAAAATAGCTGCCCTAGAAATGAGACAAGCCAAAGCCACCCACGATGAGAGTGGAAGACAGTGTTCCTGCTCTAAAGTGTGGGTAATCCCAGAGAGGCCGCATTGGCAGGCACAGTGCTGGGATTTAGCTCAGCGGCAGGAGTGAAATGAACAAGTCAACAAGAGGACTCACAGCTAAGAGAGGTAAACATGGAAATGCGTAAGAGGACATCAGAGGCAAGGTCATCCATATATAAAATATATCTTAATATTCTAATATATACAGAAATTCAAATATATATTTGAATAATGCTAAAGTTTTCTGGTTTGGGGATTAAATCAATATGTGTGTGGTGTGTGACCACATAAAAGGCTTCTGTAAAACTGAAATAATGACATAACCTTTGCAAGTGATAATGAATACAATGACACATTAAAATCACCCATGACATACTAGAAACCCTAGATGAAAACAGTTGTTTTGGTATTATTAAATTATCATTATTATGTGGTAAATTCAGGTTAGCATTGAAAAAGCAAATGAATATGTAGTCTCATTCATATTTTAAGATTTACTTTTGTATTTTGTATACAGTGTTCTGCCTGCATGTCTGCCTTCAGTCCAGAAGGAGGCACCAGATCTCATTACAGATGGTTGTGAGCTACCATGTGGTTGCTGGGAATTGAACTCAGGACCTCTGGAAGAGCAGCTTGTGTTCTTAACCTCTGAGCAATCTCTCCAGCCCCTCTCATTCATATTTTAAAACAGGATAGCTTCTTGCTTCAAAATATCACTCTTATGATCTAGTATTCTACCAATTAAGATTACTCCAGGCAAATAAACTCTATTTAGTAAGTGATTTTTGAATGAAAAACAACTCCAGTAAGATGCAATTGCCAGTAGTTAGGGTAAAAGAGAGTATCACAGTTGATGCTTGTCTTTACTCCAAAGTTGGTGTTAAGTAAAGATTATCAAGGGTTGAGAAGAGTGGAGTAAATGATGCATTTTCTTTAAAGGTTGCAATGTATAGGGGAAACAGAAAGAGCACTTTATATGTGGAAGGGCCTAGAAGGAAAATCCCCTACCAGCACTGACAGGAAATCTCTCTCACATACACACAATGTATGTTTCCTGCCTTACATGAAGGTTAGAGCTGGTCATAGGTCCAAACACTGAAAACAACAACTTTATAATATTACTTTAAGTGGTCCATTTGAGTGTCGCTGTTCTTGGACTGTTACTGAGTAGAGAGTTTGCTTTTACACCTGTCGTATCTGTAAGTCACCGAGGCTCCAGGCACAGATGGATATAAACCATCTGAGTCTAATGGAAGTTTAGTCTGTTTTGTTCTCAATCTCTCAGGATAGAAAGTAGGAAATACTCCTTGGTGACTTATTTTATTTAATATACATGTTCTTCTTGAGATTATGCCCATAATTATTATGTCATAGACTTTTTACTGGACATACTAGATGAGGTAATCATATCTAGCTTTATTAAGTCTATTTCTCTAGTAGTCACATGCAAATTCATTACACTCTGGTAGAAGTTTAGGACATTAAACAATAGTTTGAAAATACCAAAACCAACATTCACGAAGTACAATTTTCAATTACTGTGCTTTATATCATCACACATTTAGACTAAATGGTTTTCACATTTAGTTAGGTACAAATACTTCTGAGCACTTTCCTGGCTTGTAACTGGTCCTATCATGATGTTTCAACATGCTTGTCAGCATGTGGTAGCATCAGTAAAGTATAACCTCTCACTGGTTAGCCTTTGAGTAAATGCCCATGAGCTCATCATGTAGGTACAGGGCACATTCTGCAGAGACTGCATTTATGTCAGGCGTTAGAGCATGTTTTCAGCTTGTTTAGCCTTCGAACTGCTTGCTTTAAGGAAACTCTAGTACTGTAAAGATATTTTTATTGTTATACATGATGTTCTTTGAAAAAAAACCCCACAGATATTTGTGATTCGGGTTGTTTGTTTGTAAGTAGTTCTTATGCTAACAAAAGGCCTAGAATGGAGACAGGTAAATGGTCAGAATTAAGCTCTTTGGAGGATGACTGCTATATCAGACAGTCCTCTAGAGGGCTTTTACTGTGTCTGTAGAGCCACATGAAAGGTCCCTTGTGGAGGAGCCTGAAGCCAGTTCTTAGAGCTCTGCTTGTCTGAATGTGTCCTGCAAGAGATGGAAACTCAGACAGTGTCTGCATGTCTTGCTCCTTTCTTCCCTTCTTTCTCTTTCTTAACACATTCAGCCTAGTCGATTATCAGAAATTCACATAAATGTTGTCGGAAATATTTATTCCTCCTTTGGGTAATAATTTAAAGCTGGATATTTGTTCACCAGTGGGGAAGGGATTCCTTAAAGCAAGCAGCTCTGAGGCTGACCAAGCTGAAGGAAAAATGCTCTCCGATGTACATAAATGAGGTCTTGGCAGAACGTGCCTGTCCCTACAAGGAATACTGAAATTATCCCAGGGTTACCTTCTGAGGGTTTGTACTTTACTGGTGCTACACATGGCTGGCCCCCATGTTTAAACTCCATGATGGAACCAGTTACAAAACTAGTCATTCATTAAATTGCTGGTGTTGTCTTGCAGGTGCACGGGATTATCTAGGTTGTGCACCAAATGAAATATAGTTATGAACAGAGCTTGAGCATTTTCAAAACGATGCTTTCTGGAAAAGAGAAAAATGTAATAGCCATGAAGAATGCTGGAAACGGAGCACTGTAAGTACAGAGAAAGCCCTAAGGAAGATTTTCAAAGTGATTTCTAAGCCAAAGGGGCTCTGTCTGTCAAGGCGACCATTTTGCTGTAGAATAAGGAAGCACATGCAGTAACATGCACCCAGTTTTCCCAAGAAGCAGGCAATGCCAGTGTTGAGTGTTTTATTAAAATTAGGTTTCTATATCAGATTTAGATGGTGTCATATCCATTAGTCCGTAGATGGTTCCAACAGAAGGGCACCAAACTATGTCTAGAAGTTCTCAATTGACACAGGAAGTGGGAAATAGCTGAGTTTTTCCCTTCTGCCTGCTCAGACTGGCTTACAATGAATGGATGCTCTTCAACTTTTTAGTTACATGATCTTAGAATGGCTTGATTCCTGGAAACTTTAGGATCCCCAGCCACCAATTGGGCAGAATGATATCAACCAAATCCTAGAGTTTGGTAAAGTCTAGATAGATAATGTTTTGAACATTATACTATTGCCTGGTTCATAGGAAGGCATCAATAAACATTGAATGTTGCTAATTATAAGTTATTATAAGTCATCTATAAGTTTACAAGACTTATATACTTTTGCATAAAACAATCTTCTTGTTTCCCCATCTTACACACAAGTATATACTGGGATTATTGTTAGAAGGATTAAATAATTGACACAAAGTTCAGAGACATGGGAAACTACTGGGCCAGGAAAACAACAACAACAACAACAACAATAAACCAAAACACAACTTAGGAGAAAATGCTCCATAGCTGAGATTTTGGTTCTTTGTTCTCATTCACAGCCCTTTCTTACTGGAACCAGTCTGATCTCTGATGGATAAGGACTAAATGAATCAGATCTAGAAATCAGATTTTAATACTAATTCTTAAGCATATGCATCTGCACAAATGTTTATTAGCTCTGTTCATAATTACTCCTTACTTTCCACCTCCTGTCTCATTGCAGCCATTCTCTGCCTGCCATTAATCTAAAAGTGGCTGTGCAACCAGCTTTGGCTAAGGCAGCAGAGGCACCAGGGTCTGGGGCCACTTCAAGAAAGACCATAGGAGGCAGAGTGCAATTAATCACGCCCATGACTGTAGAGGTGCAGTGCATAAGGAGTTCCCATCTTTAGACTGATAATGGGTCAATAGCGTCATCATGATCCACATCCATTCACATTAGTGAAAACGCGATACCTTGTGTTAAGCCACTGAAATGCTAGGTTCTTTCCATCATTAACCTAGTGCTGAATGTATGGTGAGCATTTTGAAGATCTTCATAGGAAGTGGTAGACAGTAAAGCATGCGTTCACAGAGTTGGATGCCTACCTTCTGTGCCCTTCGTTTGTCTGCTCGTTGGTTTTGGTGATAGATCCGACTGAAGTTGGACACGATCACAGGCACGGGTAGTGCAATGACCAGCACGCCACTCAGTGAGCAGATGGAACCAAAAATCTTCCCTGCTATGGTCTTTGGTACCATGTCGCCATACCTGGGTTAGAGGAAAAATAGTTGCCATAAGTCACGGGCAACACTTCTCCTGCCTTTTACAAATAGTTTGCTCTCTCTCTCTCTCTCTCTCTCTCTCTCTCTCTCTCTCTCTGCTTAGCTTTAGGTGAAATGATTCTTGGGAAACATCTCTATTTCTACTTCATGACTACAACACGCAAGGTGTCAAACTAGTAAGTGAGAAATTATGAATATAGACTTGCCGAAATTACCTTCCAACCTTGTAGAAAATGACGATAACATTGAGAAACCTCTCAGACTAGAAAGTATTTAAAACCCGATGATGTCATGATAGCTCTTCAATTTGCCTTTTATATAATGTGGCGTAGTTTTTTTTTTACATTTATTAATAGTCAATATTTCTATGCTGGAATTTATAGTGTAGATGACACACTTTTCCACTTAATTTTTTCAGCACAGGATGGGTGATGAAATTTAAGCAGAAAAAGTAGGACATCACATCACATGGCTTTCATCTGCCCCAATCATTTTAAAAGCAAACTTTGCAAGATCCCCATTAACCTTCACTTTCGATGTCTGATGGTCATTTCTCATGATAACCTTACCCAGTCGTGTGCTTATGTGTGACAGTTGACTGTTCTCTGAAACACTGTTTTTGCTTCAGTATTAGTCACCTTCTCACCTCACTGGGAGCCACTTTCCCATCTTTTCTGGCTTCTTTCCCTTTATCTTATTTCTAAAACTTTTTATAATTTATATCTCAGTTTCGAATCCTCATACCTTCTCCATATAGACTTTTTCTTGTATGAATTCAATTAATGCCATCATTTAAGTATAGTTTTCAGTAGAGGATACCTTAATTTGTACTGACAGCCTCAATGGATGGCTCTCCCATATGTGAGATGCTTACTTTCAGTGGTTTGGTTTGATCATTTCTAAACCTGGATACCTAAAAGCCAACAAAACCTTAAACTAGCTTCTGCTGCCAACTCTCAAATAAGTTTTTACAGCTTGCCATTGACAGTTAACAAAACTTTCACACCCTGACCTGCCAGATTCTTAAACCAATATTGACTGAGCTACACTGCCCCCATTATAGTCACACCTTATCTACCAGTTACTCTTTTAATCTCTGACTAAGACATTAAGAAAAGCGTGCAGGTCTCTTTACTCAACTTCCACTTAATCACCAACCAACAAGCAAAGCAACTTATCCACCTCTCCACATTTACCACACTGCAATTCATGGACTATGCTTTTAAAATAGAAATTGACCAGCTGAAATTTTATTTCAGCTTTCTAAAGGTGTTGAAACTAAAACAAATTGAAACTCATCCCCTGTGTCTCCTGATTATGATATTACAATGACTATCTAGTTACTGGATACTTCATAATACTAGCCTCTGGTACACTCTCTGTCCTGTGGACACACTGGCCATTTGGCCTGCTGCTTTGTGTGTCGTCTCACGCCACTCATTAGGTGGCACTTAAATGAAGACTTAAAGCAATTTCCCATTCGCCTTGTCCACAGAATTCCTATTCCCTTCTTGAATCATGTTCCATAACTTCTTGATTTGGTTACTTTCATAGTTCTTATCCACACATGATGTAATATTTATTTTTTATTCATGTTTGTGTTTCGGGGGTTTGAACCTAGGATACTGAACATGCTACTGGAGGGGTATATCACTGAGAAGTAGTCTCCAGTCTGATATTGTCTCTTTACTTTTTCATTCTTCATAAAATAAAGTTGACAGAGTGGGAGCTGTTTGGCTTTCTGCCTTCCTAGCATGAATCAGGCTATTGCCATATATCAGCTGGATGCATACACTGTTTCTTCTTTAATAATAGAGGTTGTATAAGGCTTCATTCCTGGGAAAGAATACTGCATTTTCAGGTATTATTAGGAAATGATTGCCCTTATTAACATAATTTCTATGAGAAAACATCTTTGGGTTAACCTGTAGATGGGAGTTGCAGACAAATTGGAAAGGACAGGCCAGTGACAGTGACAGATGGGATGTTATGTTGACCAGCAGTGCACTTGAGGACCCCACTGGTGCTCTGTTCCATGCTTCTAGTCCCCAGTTATTCATTCTTAATATTTGTGGCTGATCAGCGGTCAAGCTATTTCACCATAATTCAAATTCCTGCAATGAAATGTCCCTACTGCATTAATTATTGCCCAGCTTCTGTGACTGCATGTGAGGTGGCATTCCAGGTTGTGGGGTTCATAAAAATTTAAGACTACAAGTGGGGTTACAGAACTGGATGTGGAGTTCAGTAAAAGATTTCTGAACATGGCAATAGTTCAAAAATTGATTGCAAATCAAACTGGTAACAAATTAGAAATGTTTCTAGCAGCCTTTGCTCATGTTGCATCAAACAACTTCACTGAAACCTTGGCTTTGCATACACACTAGGAGCACTTTCCCTAACACATGCAGGCACACATGCCACAATCAGAACATATTTAAATTCTGGATGACAAGGACTTCAGTCTCAACTGCTGTTTGAAGTTTCATGCAAAGTCCTTGAACTCATGCATCTCTTCTACTTATTCAATGCCTCAAATGGCACAATATGATTAATCAGAAGAACTTAAGTGAATCTACACATACTTATTTTCTATTTATCTATGAATGAATGTGCCTACATATATGCATGTCTCAATCATCTATTTTTCTGTCTATTAATACCACTTTTGAGTTTATATGGGCTTGAAAATATTGCTACGTTTTAGTCACAACATATTGTGAATCTAATTTTATTAATAGCCATTCAAATTCATCATTTGACATTTCTGTAAAAATTTATCGCATAGAGGTCTTAAAAAATGAAAAATTTTTTACATAGTTTTGAACTCTAAACTGGTAGATTCCTTGTTTTATTCATATAGTTTGTCTGACCTGAATACTATATATGTATGTTCACATAATAAATGGAAAATATTGTAATGGGTTAGCCTCCCTGGAAAAGTCATGGCTTCCCATTTACAAATCTATTTTCTGTGAATCCCAAGAGGGAAGCCAGAAATTGTGTTAAAAAATCATACATGCAAAAGGGATCTTCATTCAAAAGGAAGAAAGTGTTGATGTTAAAATGATTCCAATGGTCAGTCTCACCCCTCCTCTTTTTGTTGTTCTGATGAAAAGTCACAAGTTGCCAGGCATGAGGAATAGAAAGGCTGGAACTCATGCAGGTGCAGTGAAGCCCAGAAGAATCATGTCTGTTGATGGATCCAGGTGTTGGGTCCACCATACTGTGGATATCAAGTACTAAGTAGTTAAAATAAAAATAACTTCATCTGGGCACAAATAAATTCTTTGAGGTACCTTTGAAAGATTAGCTCTCTCTGTCTTGCTCTCTTCTACATCTCTCTCTTTCTGTATGATTGATTTTGTGTGTTTGAGGTTTTATTTTCAGTTTGTTTGTTTGTTTGTTTTTTTTGCTTTACTTTTGGCTTGAGTGCTAATCCAAGAGGTATAAAAAACAATTTCTTCTGACCTGGAAACTGGATTACTTATTAACTAATATTTCTATCCCTTAGGGTCTCAGTGGCTATGTTATTCATGGATTTTCTGCCATCAACTTGCAATCTAGAAGGATCACAGTTTGATGGATAGTTCTTTTAGTAGCTGCAATGTTTGCAAATAGCAAATGACTTTTTAAAGTGTTGCCATATAACACCTGCTTGTGGTACAGAACTTGTTTGCCAGAGGGCCCTGGTATTAATTTCACAGTGGTGAGATTGCTCTTTGGCATTTTGAAATCAACGTGTGCCTAAAAGCTTCGATGATTTTTTCTTGCCTATTTTGGCCGAAGAGTCAATCCTTCTCTCTTACATAGTTTGAGAAATTCACATATAGTATTTCAAGTATTGTGGGTTATCTTTTGCTTCAGCCAAACTATGGGCTGTTATTTTTTAAAAAGTATATTTAAAAAATGTTTTTTCCTGTTATTTTGAAAAGTACCATATTAAACAAAAGGGAGAACCAGAAGATTCTATTTTATAACTAGAGGTCTTGACTGGAAAGAAGTAAATAGACTTTCAGGGAATTCAAAAAGTTCAGAAGGGCTGTATAGACCCACAATAGTAAATTGTCCAGACGAGAGTTCTGCCTTTTATGATATTTCCCCTTCCCTAGACCTTTTATTTTTATTTTATTTTATTTTATTTTTTTGCTGGAAAGGAGAGCCTCACTCATGCTAGGCAATCACTCTGTGACAGAGTTCTTAAGAGATGAAAAACTAAACAAAGCAAAAACAAACCAGATTTCATTCCACAACTAGAGCTCTTTTGATTAAATTATTATTATGAACCAATAACATTGAAAACATTATTGTAACAGCTAAGGGGATCTCAATGTCATATATTGGTGATACAGCCTCTGAATTCGTTTGAACAAAAGAAAGGCTGTCAAATTACCTGCATGATTTTTCAACTGCCCACTAGGGGGCATAGAAACCTAAATGAACGTTTGGAAACAAACCAGGTCTTTTCTGGTCTTCAGAAGCTGAGATCCGGAAAAGTATTTCCAGTAAATTGCCTGCCCAGATCCCTTATCTTTGCCTATATAAGCTCAGCATTCAGGATGTATTTTGGGCATCTTATTACTCTGGAAATAGTTGAACAGCTCAAAAATCCCACCAATTTCATAGATTACCCATTTTCAAGGTGTTGCCAAAAGGATGCAAAATAGTACCGACAGTAAGTTGCTTCTCCTAAAAAGGTAAGTCATTGTCCACAGTGTGTGCTTTCACTAAAGCACAGTTTTCAATAAGGAGCTCTTCTCTAGGATCCTCGGAGTGAACATGCAGGTCATTTAAGGACTTGGTGTGTATAGAAAGGGGAAGGATGGAAGACCTTAGATGCCTTCAGCCCATGGACTGAACATTCTCACCAAGAACACGCAGTTCCATTCAGGGTTATTGACTGGGTTTCACTGGCCTCTGGCTTTTGAAAAAAAAAAAAAAAAAAAACAAACCAACACATTCTCATCTCGTATTTTTCTGCTTAGTTTCCACATTTTCTATGATGAAAGGAAGGCTTTAAAGTTTATAGATGGAACAGATGACTGTAACGTCATGTCCTAATAAAGTATTTATTGCCTAAATGAATGTCAACAGTAAAAGACTTTATAGGCCTGTCTGAAGAATTTTTTTTATTTTCTAAGTAGCTTTTAATTATTTTTTTTAAAGTTATGACAGTATATGTATAATTGATTATTGTGGGGGCACAGGTTGAAAGCAAACAAAATTATGGTCAAACTCCAATAGGAATGGTTTGCCCGGCCGAGGGACAACACAGGTTATTTCCCTCTGCTTCAGCCCCTTGTCTTCTTGTCACGAGTCTGCTTTCCACTGTATTTAAGTCTGATTAAGTCAGGCAGAAAAGTCTTAGTTTCTGTCACCTGAAAGAAAGAGCCATGATCCCAACAGCTTTTCACCATTTGCACCACGGGTTCTCTCTCCGCTGCTTATCCACACACACCGCATATTATTATAGAAACAGAGACCTTTCTGTTACTTCACACAGTATGTCCTCCCATCCCTCTAACACCAGGTGTGCATGACCTTCTGACACTATGCAC